TAATTGCATCTCTGGTATTACAATACAATATTATTGTATTGTAATTGTTATTGTATTTAATTTTTACAATAACAATAACAATAGTTCTAACCCTAGTTGCGCCCTTTAAATCTATCACAATCATTCTTATATTTGATAGTATCAATATATATATATATATATATATATATATATATATATATATATATATATATATATATATATATATATATATATAGACATATAGATATGTATGTCAGGCCTTGCGATAAAGCGTTGGGCAATGTGAATTTTATGTCGTCCAAGAGCGATTTTGCGTGTAGTTAGGGCTATTTGCGTCGAGCAAAAATTTTTTTGTTTGAGTATATTTAAAGATATTTTTGAGCGGAGTTTTAATGAAGTAATTTACAATTATTTTAATATTTAATTAAGTATTTTAAAAACCGCACGCTGTTGATAAAAGTTTGAATTACAAAAAAATTAAATATGCTCATTATTTACAAGTAGAAAAAATTCAGATTAAAAAAAAAGTTTACATTTTTTTAAGCTAACATTTTAATAAAATTATTCAGCAATAGCAAAGTTGTCAATAAAATTGAACAAAAATATTTTCTTTTAGTTTTAGATTTTTAACTTAAATAATTATTTTACGGGGGTTTGTTAGGTTTTAAAATTATTCCATAGATTTTGAAATATTTATTAACTGTTAGACGTATTTAAAGTATTTAAGAGTAATTTCTAGGAAACATTTTAAAAATTGGTAAGCGCAAATAAAAAAAATAAAAAGGTTAATATTAAAACGTATTCTACTTGATTCAATAAAAAAGTACAGCTATTAAAATTTTTGTAAAAAGTAACTCGAAAAAAATTACTTAAATAATAACAATCGCTTTTTTGTTAAAAGTTACCAAAACTCAAGGAAGCGTGCTCAAGAACAGCTGCTGAAAAATAGAACGTCAATAGTTTTTCGAATAATTTTTAAGAATAATTTTTTCGCTGAAATATGTCTTTTATACCTAAAAGATTTTTATTCTAACATTTTATTTTACCAAAAATAAAATTCCTTGTAAACATTAAAAATCTATTCAAAACGTTCGTTAAAGTTTTTTAGTAATACGAGTGATTGTGCTTATCAACCGCTTTATGAAAATAAATAAAAATAAATAAATAAATATTATATAAAATCGCTAGTAAAAATATTAGCTATTGCACAGTTTTTAATCGTACAATATTATAATTTCCAGTTTATTACTCGCTGACTTTTTAAAAAGAAAAAATAATTATTTGAAAAACTTTAAATTACATATTTGAGAAAATCAAATATCAGCATATTTTATAATCTTTTTTAAATGTTTAGTTATAATGTTTTTTATTTGTTTAGTAGACAAAGCGTGTCTAACGTCGAGAAAATAAACCAATGTTTTTACATTTTAAAAAACGAAACATTCCAAAATATTTTTAAATAATAACATTTCTACATTAATGATTTAAAGTAGTTTTGCTGTAATTAAGTGAATTGGTGCAGTTAATGTCGATAAATATGAAAAGCAAATAAAAAGAATTTAATAACGTCAAAAATCACGTTGTGCTTATGCGTCGCACAGTCTTTATTCTTCATAAGGCCTGGTATGTATATATAGATATTATGGTGCTTTAAAAATCACTACTCAGTGTTGTTAATGTGGTGTAGTTATTTGTTGTGTTAATCTATTTTTAGATTCTAATTCAGAAAAGCTTTATATAAAATTTCCCTTTATTTGAGTAATAAGTTTACCTTTTTAATATAAACATTTTAGGGACCATTTAAACAATATTAGGGACCTGTCGAATAGAAAATGAGCTTAAGTATGAACTAAGTATTGGACAATTAAACTTAAATTAGACTTGAAACTTCAAATTGTGTATCTGGGATTATTAAATTATTTCTTTCTAACTGCTTTATTAAAATCATCATCAGAATTTTTGAATATTTTCCAAAAAAAAACAAAAAAACGAACCCCTATGTTTTTTTTCCAAAAAAAAAGCAAAAAAAACAAAAACCAAAAAAAAAGTTTTCGGTGATGGCAACCTGCTTGGATAAATCCAACTCTTGAATCATTTCCATAAACAGAAGCACAAGCTCTTGTTGTCTGTTTCACAGCCCGTTCAATACTTTGTGTGTGGCATACTATGGAAACAGGAAAAATGGGATTACTTTCAAAATCAACAATAGTCTCAAAAGTAAAGTTACATGTTTGAATTGGCTCAAACACATTATGAGTCCAAGAACATAGCTCTGTGAGATTCTTTGCACTAATATTTAAAGAAGTATGAACTATTCTCTTTAAAGCCCCACCTAATATACCGGTGTTAGTAGCTGTAGAATCTCTAAGCTCTAATATACTGTAAATCTATATAAAGTTTTTTACACCAATCTGCTATAGGTTTGGTTATCATTAATGCCAGTTTCAAGAGGAGAGAAATGGAATAAATATTTTCCTCTTGGTTCACTAGTGACAGTATAGAAGTCCATCTTTATTGTTTTTGAATAGTTTTTTAATGTTGTTTCATCTTGTAGATTAATAAGAGTTAAATTTTTTTTCCCATCAAAAAATAGCGCTTTTATATCTTCTAACTGATACAGTAGTAAATCATCCTTTTGAAATTTTTCCATTACATTTTTTATTTTCCTATGAATCTTGTGGTGGTCAATAATAAGTATATTGTCTTTTAATTAACTATTCCAAGATATACAAGAGCTGCAGAAGAAACAGCAGCAGCTTCTCTGTTACTTGTTCCATATCTCAAAACTGTTTGAGCAAAAAGAGGAAAGTGATTTGTATTAACGAAAGAGTCTTTTATTTTATCGTCGATTTTGACATAAAAAAATTGATTGGGTGATTCACTTGTTTTTCAATAACATCTACATCAATTTCTTCATTCAAAAACTTGGTTAATACTTAACTCTGCTTTTTATTCTGCTCTTCATAAAATTTTTTAAGCTCTAACTTTTGATGAGCACTCTCAACTGTTTTTTCTTTTCTTTTGTATTGTTTAGTAAGACGAGTATGTTCTTTTTTATCTCTACAATGTATTTGGTAAGCACTTTTCATTCCAACTTTTATTCTTTGAGCTCTGATAAACTTTAGCTCTATTTCTGGAATTTTTAAGCTTGCAGGACACTTACAGATAGGAGAAATAGCACAATGAGAACATTTAGAGTCAAAGCAATTTGGATCTTCCTCGCATATAATATTGTGTTTGCAGCGAAGAATATCAAATAGTCAATTTCATTATGTAACTTATCTTTTATAGAATTTTTCACTCTTCCCCAAACAGTTTGAGTAACTCTTTTCCATTCTTTTTCGATTCTCTGAACTATATAGTGATATAGTGGCTGATTCTCTGAACTATAGTGATTAGGCTGAACTATATAGTGATTAGGCTGAATTTGAATATTGATATTCTCTTTTTTATACTGTGCAACAACCTAAAATCAAAATCATTAATAATATTAAATAGAGTACAGTATAATAATAAAACAAATTGAAAAAAATAAATTAATAGGAAAATAATAAATATAATAAAAAATATAATATTAGATTAAGCTAACCTTACAAGATGACCTTTTGGCAGCTTCGTGAATTATCTCTTTTGACATATACTAAAGATTGGTGTCTAAGTTCTCCATTTCTAACAGAAATAATTGCAAAACGTTTCTGAGGGTTGGCGAGTCAGAGGGTAACAAGTCAGCACCAAGACCAATGAACTCTTTAACTTTTTTGCTGTCTAGACAAGAATTACTTTGTGTCCTTTTTATTTTATTCATAATTTTTAATAAGCTAGAAAAAATAAACTTTAAAAAGTATTGGATTCCTTAAAATATATACATAAACTATGAAGTTAATTCTTTGTTAAACCTTTAAACTAAGGCTTAGTCATTTATTTAAATAATAAACTTTAATGTTTCAAAAAATATTTATTTCAATATTTGACCTGCAAACAAATTTATATAAACAAAAAGAAAATTTTTCATATGGTTATTCTTGGACTTATTTCTTTTTATGTCTTTATTTATAATTCTACTAGATAAAATACGTCTTTAAAATTTCCACATAAAAATTAAGAAAAGGTTAAATATAATTTTAAAAGTAAACATTGCATATTTAACAACAGACAACTTTACAGACTTGAGAAAATATAAGATTATATATAAGATTTTATTTATATTATAGTATAAGATTTTGTTTTATATGATTGTGGTTCATTATAACTAATATTTGAATCTATAAATAATAAACTATATACAGTTATAATAAAAGTTTACCTACACAAAAAAATGTTTTAAAGTGTAAAAAATAATACTATTTTAGTTTACGCCACATTCTTCAAGTCTGCATTTTATTTTTTATTTAATATTTGTATTTAATCAGTTCTTTACTAAAAGGGATAATTTTATTTCAATTTATTATTTTAAAATATTTCAAACTTTGTTTTGGTAATTTATTTTTAAGTTATGGAAAAAAAAATTTATAGTATGGTAAAAGAATATTAGGAAATAGTGGTTAATCTGTTTGTTCAGCTTCAGATTTAATAAAAGCTTGAAAATTTGTTTAAAAAAATTGTTTAGAAGTTGTATGCTTTTTCTTTACAAAATTTTTTCAGAATAAAGCAAAAAAAAAAAATATTTTTTTTTTGTTTTTATTGTTTTCACCCCTGTTTAGTTTTAATAATAAAATAACACATAATAAGTTTGATTACTTTCTTGGTTTTATGATACTTTAAAACAACAAGTTTGTCTTTTTTTTATTTTTGAGCTTTTTTATTTTTTATTTTTGAGCTTAGTAAAATGCTGCAACAGTTTTCCCTGTATAACCAACAGGTTTTGGCAGCCTTATCTACTTCATACTCTAATTTTATTCATATTAATATATAAAAATTTTATTAAATGTTATTATTTTATTCATGTCAATATATAAAAATGTATACTTCTGACATTTTAAAATAAATTACCAATTCTTTAAATATATGACTTTGACTAGGTGAACGATCGGCGTATTTCAAATCGCATAACTGCAAAACCAAATTTTTTCGATGCATCACCTATTGCAGCAACAAATATGACCAAATCATCTAATAATAAATCTCAATCTACCACAGTGAAAGTGGTGGATTCAGATGATGAAGATAAAATTGATGACAGGTATTTTGTTATAAATTTTGTTGAAAAACTTATTTTTTAATGTTTTAATATCTGGTTTATTGAACCTAATTGATTTTCTTTCACTTTATTAAAGAAATATTAATGTGCATTGTATATAGAATATAGGACAAGGTTGTTCCTCAAAATTCATGTATGTAGTTAGGCTAGGGTGGTTGAAAAAATAATATTTAAAAAAAATATCTGCTGGTACCTTCCTAATGTGTTCTGTATAATAAAATAATACCTAAAAATTTTTTTTGAATAAAAAATATTTTAGGGATAGCTTAAGACTAAGGTTGTCGATGGGTACTTTAAAAACATTAACTGTAATATAATAGTTTGACAATATTAATTTGGTAGATGAAAGAAAATCTTGAAGAAAAAGTTAAAAGTTTTAATAGTTCTTTATTACCATCAGAATTTCTGAAAACATTCAATATAGCATTTAAAAGTTATTTGAGTTTCTAATTTAGATACTTACATATTATTACTTAATGATTATTATTATTATTACTTTATACAATGTTTTCCGTTAATTATGCTGTTTTAGCACAAAAGAACATGTGTATACATGCAGCTTCAGTATCATTAGAATATGCTTTCTAAACTGCTAGGCATGTGGTCAAATGAAAACATACATCTTAGACATCCAAAACAGTGGAAACCCTAGTATTTCTCAACCCTAATTGGAACTTGTGAAACGTGGTCACTTAAATTAAAACAATAAGCGACATGATTGATTTAAAAGTTTTTGTTGACTGTTGAGAGAAAAACTTTCCAAGATAATTTTTTACGCATTTGCAAAGTGCGTGCAAATTAATGATAATTCATATGCAAAAATTTAATTGCTCAAATCAATGATAATTAATATGACCTAATGATTGAAAATTGATATCCATTGATACTAAATAGTGAATTTTTCATTTTACGTACTTAGTTATTTTACTTAAAAGTAACGCTATTGAAGAAAGCATAGTCATAGCATTATAATAGTCCGAAATAAATATTTAAATGACAGAAGCAAATTGTGTTTGTTTTGGTTATTCAGTTTCAAGAAATTATTTTGGATTGCATATTTATTTCATATTCAGTATAAAAATGATGAATAAAGCATAAAATAAAGACATCAACAGTTAATAAATGTAGTAGAATATAGCATAAAATAAACTTTATTTTATGTTATACTATGATTATTAACTGCTGATGTCTTTATTTTATGCTATATTCATCATTTTTATTCGGAATACGAAATATATAACTTCTATATTCTAAGACAAAACATGGCTTTTGTATTTTACCTAAACTTACTTTTGAGCGTATAAAGTTGACAACATATTTGTTAAGAAGTGTTAAACTTGCTTCCTAAGTAATAAGTTTTTTGCTATATTAAAAGTTTTATTACATTATGGAGTAGCTTATTTGAAAATTATTTTCAACATCAACATCCACTTAGTGCTTGCTAGGATAACCATTCCTTTTAATGACTTTGGTTTCAATAATAACACAATAAAAAAACTAAAAAATATTTGCAGTAGCTAGAAATGTAATGAATTTAGCAACACAGGTAGTATAAAGTAATAGTAATATAGTAATGAGTCATTAAATATACATTAAGTATTTATTTTACTACTTCAGGAGTTAATTATATACCAAATAATAATTTTAGTAAGTTTAAGTCATCTTATGTCCTCTTGAATGTTCTTGTTCCAAAATAGAGGATGGTTTTTAATTGATGTTCTTTATATATCAATTTATTTGACCTTTTTAAATCTTGAAGGCTTTCAGTTTATCTTTTGCAACTTTGTCTATCTTTTTTAGACAATCATGCACATTTAGCAGCAAGCAAATACGATAAACACTGCTCATGGTACAACATAAACATGTTAGAGTTAAAACTAATTGTAGAATAAGAGGTAAAACCTCTTATTCTACAATTTCAACTTAAAAACTTCAAAACAAATAAAACAAATAAAAACTTCAAAACCTTAAAGGACAATTTTGTTTCAGAAAATATTTTGTAATATCTGCGGTAAAAATTGCAGCATTACCATCAAATGAATTAGTTACATTTTTAATATGAACTAAGCTGTAATGACTTCTTGAAATACTTGAAATATTTACAAATGATTTAAAATTTTTAAATTCAGCTTAAAGCAGGGTATCTTTTATCTGAAGCAAGTTTTTCTGCAATCTAAATAATTTTAAAACCTAATAGGATTAAAAATAATCTTTGCTTTTTTTTATTCTTTACTAAATTGTTTTTCAGTAATCTTGACCTTGTGTTTGGCAATGAGGTGACAAGTCACCTTGCGATATACATCGTTTTTTGCAAAACAAACACATAAATATACTTTTTTCACTTTGGTTAGGATAAATTAAATTAGGTAACCTAATATTTGAACTAAAATTTCTTTTTCCAACATATACCAACTCAATAGCAGCTTAAACAGATTCAATTCCATTCAAAGTATCAAAGTCTGCGCCATAAAATGTCATTTAAAAATATTTGATTCACTCTCAGTCCAGTCACCCCATAAAGTTCAAGTTGTTTTACGAAATCTATAGAAAACAGCCCGCTTTTTCATACTAGTTAAATAGGATGACTACAAAGAAAATAATCATGTTTTAGCATGGTTTCCTTTAAATTTTTTAAAATGGGTTTTAAATTTTAGTTACAATTGTTTTTTGTTATAAATATGTTTTTTTTATAATAAATAAAAGACTATCAATTGCATAAATATTTGAAAAAAAAATTGCTGAAGTAATGCTTTTTAAAAAGTTTGTTTTTAAAAATTTTAGGCGAACGCCAATGCTTGCATAAGCTAAAGTAAAGAAATGTCTGTTGTGACAATAAAGTGACATTAATTTTTCTGTGTTTTTTTAAACGTTCATTGATTTGTCGCACCCTAGTGTAGTGTGTACATTGAAGCTATTTTAAAAGTTGTTAGCAATTGTTGCTATTTCTAAAAAGACTTTTTTAATAAACAAAAATCTTAAAAGCAACAAGTCATAAGTAAACAAAATAATTAAAATAAAAATTTTTTGATAAAGTTTGTTATGAAGCTGTTTTTGTTATATTATAAATATTTTAAATAAGTGAAAGCTCAATTTATTTAAAATATTTTTATATAAGTTTTTAAATGTTTTTAAATAACATTGAGCTTTCACTTATTTAAAATATTGTTTACTTAAAAATATATAAAGATAAAAATTTTTATTAAAAAAATTGAATTTTTAATAATTTTAATACAAAAATTCATAATTTTTTGACAATTTTAATATCAATCTACAGTCAGTTTAAATAAATCACAAAAAAGTTAAAGTTTAATAAGTCACATACAAAAAAGTTATATTCTTTCTTAAAATATACAGATAAATAATATATATATTCAGAAATGTTAATAATAATAATAATAATAATAATAATAATAATAATAATAATAATAATAATAATAATAATAATAATAATAATAGTAATAAATGAATTTATACTTTTAATGCCACATGTATACTTTTAATTTTTTGTTTGATTATGTTAGTTTATTATTGGGTTTTGTTTTTTAAATAAAATACAGCATAATCAAAAAATTCATTTTTCATTTATTTTAAAATTGGGTTTATAATTTATATATACTTTATTCTATAGTTAATTCTATCAAATATTACTTATTATGTGAAATGTATTTCTAGTGAATCATTTGTTAAAAATGAAGATAAGTTTAAAAAGCCAACACTACCTCCAAAAAAGAAATCGACTAAAACTCCGTTAGACGTAAAAGTGGTATAATGATTTTATTGATTTATATATGTAAAAAAATTTTTGTTTTATTTGTTTTTTACTTTGTCTGAAAAACTGTCTGAAATGAGATTTTTATTTTGTAGAGGAGCGTGTAGATATATGTTTAATAAATGCAACCAAATATTATCAAGTAACTTAATATTGTATAGTTGATAAAAATATCAAAAAAGGTTGTTGTTCAATATATACAGGCCTCAATTTAATTTTATCACATTTAATAATTGCATTTTTTAGGCATTTGACTAACTTTGTATAAAAATTAAGTAAAATTATAGACCAGAATAGGTCTTTTTGTGAAAAATGGTAGTGCTGACTGAAGAATTTATTTTATGTAAAGTAACGTCTAAGATAGATAATTTAAACATATTTCTTGTTCTTTTAAGAATATTGAGTACTCTTTTTTTTTAGAATACATTTTAAAATTGTTTATATATATATATATATATATATATATATATATATATATATATATATATATATATATATATATATATATATATATATATATATATATATATTTTAAAAAACAGCAGTTAATACAAATTCTCTTAATACAATTAATAATTTATTATTATAATAAATAAATAAAAATAACCCTTGCAATATGTACAATAACTAAATAACTATATGTTTATATTGTTATGTAGTTATTGTATTTATTGCAAGGGTTGAATTATGTGATTGCAAGTTGTGATATCTGAAAAATTTCTGGTCTTTGATTTTTCAGTTTGTTGAATCCATAAACTCTGTTGTTATGACCTTTAATGATTAGTATTAAATAAATAAAATATTTATCCACTAATTATGAAGCTTTAATACAATATCTGTCAGTTTTAACTTTAGTTCGAATTTAACAATCATAAAACTTTTTAAATAATTCTTATCACTAATATAAAATTATATCACTAATATAAAATCTTTTTTATTTGTCTATTCAAATTGTTCCTTTAGAAAAAATCTATGAACAACAAAGTAAAGTCATCTGTGCTATCTGATGAATCATCTTTATTTGACATTGTAAAAGGAGGAAAAAGTGCATTAGCTGTAAGAATAAGTTTTCTTTTTAACACTTAGAGTGATGTTATACAATTTGTCTGGTGTTTTATTTATTTTATATGTTTCTCTTTTTATATCACTAAGAATTCATTTTGAATATACACTTTAGTTTTCATAAATCAAAAGTTTTGTTGCATATATATGTATTTTTTTGTTTTGCATATTTTATGTTGCATAGAGTGTCATAGATGATTGGATTGATAATTACAATCACAATAAATCAGATGCTATGGTTGAACTTTTACAATTTATTGTTAATTGTACTGGCTGCAATGGTAAGGTTTAATATTCTGTTAGTTGTAAAATCATTAAGTATCATTAGTTGCATTAAAAAATAAGCAAAAAATTTAGAAAAAAAGTTTAAAGTTATCAAAAAGAGTTATTTATCAAGATATAAAAAAGAAGCTTTCTTTTTATTATTATTATTATAATAATAATTATTATTATTTTCTTTGCCTCACATTTTTAGCATCACACATTTTCTCGTCATGAAAATTTATTCCAATATATTCCAATAAAATAATCTTATATCTAATGAATAGTTGTGATTTTTTGTGTTTTTTAATGTCATCATTACATTTAAGCTTATCATACTTAAATCATAGTTTTGAGCATAGTTTATAGTGTATGAAATAAATTATATATGGGTTTCCTTTAGGAAAAGACTTCTAAAAGTTTACCAAAAGAATATATTAATTTGTGTACTTTAAATAAAAATAATATAAACAAACATAAATGTAAACAAACATTAGGAAATAAGTTTAGAGTTTGTTAGATTTGCCAAAAAAATTATTTTTTGAGATATTAATAAAAAATTTTCGTTGTTTTTATATTTAATTGTCAAATGATTTATTTTTTTATAAACCCAGAAGACCTTTCATATAAAGTCTTCCACTGTTTGTAAAATTTACAATTATATAAAAAATCTTTAACGTTGAACTTCCTATAAAAGTTTAAAATAGAGGTAATTAAGATTTATAGGGTCGGGTGGGGTAATATGAATAGAGTTTTAGATATATTTTCTTTTAATATTATTTTTTTTTTTAGTAAAGAACCGCCATAAAAACTTTTTTTATTTTTCTTTACATTCAGGGTGTATACAATAAAATCACAATGAGTAAAACATAAATTTATTTTAAATAACTAACTTACTAATCCTTTTTTAGCAACACCTTTCATATATCCAAATTATCCCACTGGTTGGGTAATACGGATACTCATATTATATTTGATACATATATCACACTTATTACTTTTCACGTATTTAAAAAGTCAAACTGTATTGGTTATCTCTAGCAGTTTTCTTTTTCTTACTGATACAGTCTTCTTTTCAGCTTTATTCTTCTCTTCTTCTTGCAACCTTGCGACAACATCTGTTACAACATTGTTCTTTGTTCAACATCTGTTACAACATTGTTTTTATAACATCTGTTACAACATTGTTACAACATCTGTTACAACATCTGTTACAACTTGCGACAACATCTGTTACAACATCTGTTGACAACGTGCTGTTAAAATTTCTCCTTTTTTGGCCTGGACACGTGCTCTGTATTTTTTGAATTCGCAAGTGCTGTCAGTGTAGGTTGACGTGGGCTAGTACAGAATCAATTGCTCTCTGCAGGCTTTTCACAACATTTTCTTTTGTTAAACTCGTCTCCCTGCTTTGGTTGCATATTCACTATCTTTTTCATAGGTTTTGATTTGTCAACAGGGTAAAGACCACTACCATCAAAACCACTTTTTAGGAGTTTGCTATCTATCTTACTGACAAGAGCTTTTAGTAAAGTTGGAAATATAGACTTATCAACATTTTTATGTGTGCTTTCTCTTAACCAATTTTTAAGGATTTTCTTTCAATGGGATTTCAATGGAGCAAAAAAACCAACATCAAGAAGTTGTAATGCGTGAGTTGTGTTCGGAAGTAAGCAAAGTAAAATTATATGATTGTCCAGAGCCTTTTTAACAGTAGAATATGTTATATGGCTGTTGTGTCCATTACACAGCAGCAACACAGGCTTTTCATATTCCTTTACATCTAAAATAAACCTGTCAATCCAACTTTCAAAAATCAATAGTCCTCCATCCAACCGGATTTTGTTACACCATACATTGCATTTTCTGGTCCATTTTGACACCATGCATCATAAAGGTGGATGGCTTTGTAGATGACAAAGGGAGGTAAACACTGGCCATTTGCTAACCCACAAAACAGTACAGAATACATTGATTTACCACATGATGGAGCAACATAATAGGCTGTTTTTGATGTTTTACGAACAAAGATTTTTCCTGTTGTAGGATCTGTACATAAACCTGTTTCATCTAAATTAAATATGCATATGTGGTCTATCAAATAAATTATTATTATTTAATGTCTTCTCATATAACTCAAAATCTGTCAATGTTTTTAGAGAAAAATCATTAGCTCTTGCTTTTGTCAAAAGTTCATGTTTTCTTTTTCCAAGAACTACATCATCTTTTTTCAAAAAACATGCACCAGTCTTTCCCTGGCTTGTCATCTTTGAATGGAGTTTTTTTTGCCAGTAAATGTTATATCGGATTTAACCATCAGTTTAATATCTTCTCTATCTTGTGGAAAACTCTTTTCAGCTAAGTACATCAGGGCTTCTACTAGAAGATTTTCCTCAGTATTATTTAAAACAAACCCGCGGCCGCTTCCAATTCTTTTGTCATTCCTTTGGATTTGATCATGGGATCGTCTGTATAATGCCCCATAAGGAATTCCAGAAGACTTTGATACACTGTATACTAAATCTCCTTTCTTAACAAGCTGTATGGCAGTCATTAATTTGCTGTGATCATATGAACCAATAGTCTTGCGTTGGTATTCATGAGGCATAATAATTTATTTCAGTCTTGTTATTTTATCTAAAATAATTTAAAACAAACTTTAATTATATAAAGAATATAATTTAATTATGAAGTACAAAGGAATACAAAAATAAAATATAAAACATTTAGATTAGAGTTTAAATTTTACCTAGCCTTTCAGGGAAAACAAATTTGAACTATAATCTTAATGTAAATAATAGTTCAGAAGCATTATATAAAACTATTATATGTAACTGAAAAATGTTTAAAACTATATTAAAAAGCAAAAGTGAGCGTAAGTGTATATTTAAATATCATGTAGCTTATGGTTTTGTAATAAAATATTATTTTAGTAGGATTTTATATCTTTATGTGTGATTTTATATATTTTATGTGTAGGATTTTATATATATTATATATTTCATGAAAATCAACTATAAACATTGTTAACATAAAAAAAAGGAAGCCAATGATGTGTAGAAACTGTTGGTTATTTTCAGGTTTTAGAATTATGTATAGATAACTTACTCCAATAATATTTATTGAATATATCCATATTACCCCAACAATCCATATTACCCCACCCGACCCTATCACAAAAAAAATGATGCACTAATTGTTATCAAAATATTTTTTGTTTGGCACAGATTTTAGTTTATTGTTTAAGACAGATAGTTTCATAATCCGATGTAAACTATTCATTAAATTTTCAAAATTAATATTTGCAAAATTTGTAGTTACAAAGGTATTATTTTGTTTTCTGGGTTACTATAGTTAAGCTTTACAAATTCTATTATTGATGATATTTGCTGAGTTATTACATCAAACTAAAAAATATTTGAGTTGTTGAAGTCTGGTTTCCATTTTTATTGGGTTAGAAACAAAATAAGTTATGTGCTTTGCTAATGTAAAAAGTATATTCTCTTTTGTATGTTCAGACTTTTTTAGTTTAGATAATCATGGGAATGTGATATTATAAAATATATCTATTTTAACCGTGTTGTTATCATGTTGAATAATTGTGTTGTTATCATGTTGAATAATTGTGTCTAAAAAAATGAGCTTGTTTTGTTTATTAAGCAGATTCAATCAAGATGTGATAATTTTTATGTATTTTTTAGGTGTTTTTCTGTCAAGTATAAGTTGCATGATTTACCACCAGGTTTAATTGACTCTGCTTTGTCAACAAGTATTCCATGTTAGATTAGGCTTTAAACCCTTATTTTTATATTTAAAATTAAAGGAGCTATCATCTCTAGTTCCATCAACTAAAACTCCTTCTCACTTGACTAGTCATTCAGCAAAGTCTCATTCTTTCACTGTATCTGTTCCTTCATGCTCTAAAAACTTTTATTTGTCCATTTTTCCCCCTGCATTTTAACCCTTTAGAACTTTTTATTCTTTTTTTTCAAGTAACTCCTAACTTAATAGTGGTTGCTTGTAGCTTTGTTGGAAGTGAATAAAAATTAAAAAACACCCACTGTAAATATTAACATAATTTCTACAATAATATATATATATATATATATATATATATATATATATATATATATATATATATATATATATATATATATATATATATATATATATATATATATATATATATATATATAACTTAATAGTGGTTGCTTGTAGCTTTGTTGGAAGTGAAGAAAAATTAAAAAACACCCACTGTAAATATTAACATAATTTCTACAATAATATATATATATATATATATATATATATATATATATATATATATATATATATATATATATATATATATATATATATATATATATATACACACTTACTAAAGCGTGTTTTGATAAGCATTTGCTCACTTTTTGTGCTTACTTCAAGGTAAACCGTTTTTTTCAAAAAAGAAGAAGAAAAAAACGAAGAATGATAAATAAAACGATTGCTTCCCCATCCCAAACCCTCAGTCGATGTAGCAGCACTTCACTGCGAGTCAGGCTATTTGTCAGTCGTTGTATGTACTGAAGCCCCCAGCAGCCGGCTATTTCAGTATGACGTCAGATTGTTTACCAAAGTACGCAATACTATTTGTATATATATATATATATTTATATATATATATATATATATATATATATATATATATATATATATATATATATATATATATATTATTGTATATATATATATATTATTGTATATATATATATATATATATATATATATATATATATATATATATATATATATATATATATATGTATATATCCTTATAGTGTAGTCGAAAGAGTCGTTTAATGTAAAAAAAGTCTCTTTCAACTACAATTTTAATTACCTCGTCTCTTAAGCTGTATTTGATTGTCGTCGAAATGTCAAAGCAATTAAATTAATGCGGAAGTGCATTAATTTTTATTGTGTTTTAAAAAATTTTTTAAAAACCGCAATAATAACGACTAGAAAGTTTTTTTTAATTTGTAGTGTTTTTGTTTTTGTTTTATTAAAAAACATTTTTAAAACATGCGTAACTGTTGCTACATCGACTATCTTATAGCCTGACTCGCAACGGAGTGCTGCTACATCGACTGACAAATAGCCTGACTCGCAACGGAGTGCTGCTACATCGACTGACAAATAGCCTGACTCGCAAGGGAGTGCTGCTACAACGACTGACAAATAGCCTGACTCGCAAGGGAGTGATGCTACATCGACTGAGGGTTTGGTTTGGGCAGGCAGTCTATCATTTAAAAAAAAAAAAAAAATTTAAGTTTTTAAACTTTTTCTGGTCTGATTTTTTAACACGCTCTTTAAAACTACAGTTTATGGGAAACTCTTTTTAACTACCATGCAAGAGTATATATATATATATATATATATATATATATATATATATATATATATATATATATATATTATATATAAATATAGCATAAGTTATTTGTGTTCCAAACTTATTTGATTAAGGACATTTTTATATTTGGCTTATTTCTATTTAGCTTAAGTCTTATACTCAATTACATACTTGTGTTGTCTACTATGATATTGTTATACTCCATGATATACTTGTGTTGTCTATTTAGCACAGGTTAAACGTTCTATGATCGAAGAAGATTCTGTAATGGTGATTCGTCATTTAACAGAAAACTTTGGTGAGCAAGCTGAAGAGTATCCTTTGATTATAAATAGACCAGAATTCAAAAAATTCAAGGTCTTTACCTTTTTTTATTAATATTTTATTTTTCAAATTTTAAACTATAGTAATTTTAAAAATTAATAAAACCACTGAATATTTAATGAATAGAATACTTAATGGTTTTTAGTATTTATGTCCTAGTATTTATCAGCTCATATAAATTAGGGAACTGGTAGGGTTTTTCCGAAAACGGTGCTTAACTAAAAACACCTACCATCGCTTCAAGTTTAAAAAGAAAAACAGCTGATATCAGCTCTTTCACTTTTTTTCATTATTTTATAAATTTTATAGATAAAAAGTAGTTGTCTTTACATTAATGTCATTTTGTCATACCGCCGATATAAATAAGTAGCCCTCAATCAAAACATTTCTACCTCCTATATAAAATTTTAAAAACACAAACGCTTCAAGTATTTTTCCAAGAAACACTTTTTTTGGTGCAAAAAATTCTATATAGTTTTTGCAAAGTGTTGCATAATTTTTGCAGATTTTTTTTGTGCTAATTCTTCTTTTTAATGTAACATATTCAATTTATCAGCAGCATTTTGATCACTATTTAATGATTCTTGAGCTGTTTTGTAAATATCTCCAAGTAGTCAACAGGCTAAATTAGTGTGACTTTTGATGCAATGACTGATAATCTTTTTAATATCCTCATTTTTTTGTTTTCATAATTAAGTTCTCAACAGCTAATTTAATAAGCTCAATGGCCTTGGTAAACCTTTTTTATTTTTGTTATCATGACACATTTATTTTGCTCTGTGGGTGTTATGAATTTCTGTTTTTATGTAATGTCTCTGTTAATTATCAGCCATAGTCTTAGTGGTCTGGTTTAGGGTGTGAGTTTTTGTGTTTTATTCTTTATTTTATATTCTTCATTGATATATTTTTTGGTTATACATTTGGTGGTAAAACTGTATAAATATTTTTTTTTTTTTGCTTTATGATTTTGTTTATTGTTGGGGATTTAATAGTAATTTTTATCTTGCTATATACAGTTATCATTATATTGATATAGTGTCAATTATTTAATGTGTTACAATGTATACTCAATACAATGAATTAAATGTAAAAGTCTGTTGCCTTAAACCTTCTTTTAACATCTTTTAGCTACAAGAAGAATAAAAAATATATTAAAAGAAAGACCTCAAGTATTATATATTATATTCAAATCAAAAATGTGTTTTTCCAATGACAATTATGTGCATCAAATATGCACTCTAATTATTAAAGTGGTAAATTTTGTACTGCTTTGTTTTACGTAAAGGAAAGGCATTCTCCTTAAAAGTTAGGCAAGCAAAAAATATGTTGTCTTATTAAGTGCATTTATATAAGTTAAACGAAAAATTAATTTTTAAATGTTTATATTATAAGTAAATTTAAGTAAATTGTAATAAATTTTTTATAGTAGAATAAAAGCAAATTAAGAAAGCCTGAAATTGTTCTAAGTATATGAGTGGCTTAAATATTTTTTTGATCAGGTTTGTTTTGGTTGCTTAGTTTTAGTGGCTTTATTACATTTTATTAATTTTATTACAATTTTTTGAAATAAAAAAAAGTAATAAAATTTTTGTTTTTTATAATTTTTAAATAATTAATGGTAATGTGTGGAACACATATTTGCTCATTTCTATACTTAAGGGTTTCATGGGAAGGAAATTAATTTCTGGTCTGTATATTAAATCATATCAATCACATACTTAGTATAAATGCTATTTAAATATTAGTTAATGGGCATAATTTTTTATTTTTTAAGGGACATTTTGCATTATTCATCACGCAACTGGTGAATATGTGTCAGCATGGCATTATTTATGATGACGAAATGATTGTTGTTCTTGTCAATTGGATTGTCACATTATCTTCATCTCCAGTACGAGCTTTCAGACATACAAGTACATTTGCAGGTTATTCAAAAATACTCTATTTTGTAGTTAATTGAGGACAATATTCAAAATTAGATACAACAAACCTCCTGATACTTTTTACCAAACCTCCTGATACTTTTTACCAAATCTCGCTAAAAAACCTAATATGTTAAAAGAAAAATACTTTTGGAATATCAAGGATCTCCAATATTTGTTTAAAAATATTTTTTGTTTATTTTTTTAAAAATAGCTGTATGGATTTTTTGGAAAAACAAATTATTAAATTTTTTTTTTCTGGCCACAAGACATTTTATACTATTGTATAAAATGTTTTGTTTATAATTAAATTCTGATTTATAAAAATTAAAGTTGAAGTCAAAACGCAGTAACAGTAGAAGCCGACAGTATTTAATTACTTTCATTTTATTAACAACTTTCTTCTATTTTATACAAACTATAAAATACATAGCTATTATCTAATATACTAATATACCTTATTTGTTACAAAGTTTAATTGTTTAAATATGGAAGTAACAACAACAGAAGATGTAGTTAATCCTCTTGCTGATATATAAAAAAACATTAAATTGTTGAAAAATATAATGTAAAACTATAAATAAGAAAACAATATGAAAACTTTTTAAATGAAATTAACTCTGTAAACCTACCAAAAATACTACTGTATCTACTTAAAAAAGTATCAACGTATCTAAATCTGTATATCTACTTGAAAAAGTATCTAGCTAAACAGGACTTAGTTGCTCTGAAAATGTAGTATAATAGAGTTTTCATAATTTAAATTAAAATGTTAGTAATTAAGTTTCTTTTTGTTGTAACATGTCTTCTTCTAAAGATAAATGAAAATGACAGCTGTAATATAAATGATGTTCATGTTCAAAACAATTCAAGATTATGATGTTAATTGGTTTTAGTTAGCAATTGATTTTAGATTATGACATTAGAAATTAGTTGAAGTTAGCAATACCTTTAAAATGCTATTTTTTTAAAAATGTGTACAAACAACAAGCCTTCCCGGTAAGCTCGTGTAGTCGCACACCTTGTTCATCCATATTTAAAGTATTTTATTTAGACAACTTGACTACATTTTTATATTGTAGGCATTTTAAAAATTTGCGGCAAAATAAAGCTCTAAGAATTACAGAGAATAAAATCGCAATATTTGAAGAAAGGAAATGAATACTATACAAAATAGATTATCTAAATAAAATTAACAAAAAAAAATTTTAATTAAAAAAAAAAAGAATATACCTAAACATTTTACTGTTTTTGTTTTGTTTTCTTTTTTTTTAGGGCGTTTGTTATTTTCCACTACCAAAATTAATACAAGTTGAGGAAAAAAGCAGATAAGAATATAACAAAAACAAAAGCATTTTTTAATGTGCAATTTTTTAGCAACTTTTGCCAGTCAGTGTGTTAAGGAAATACTTTATTATTTGTACTAGAAATAAGGACAATTTTAAAATTTGTTTTTCAAATGTATTTGCTAAACTTTACTGTTTTTATTAATGCACCGGAAAAATAATAAGTATTATATTTGGTTGTTTTCACTACTTCAATTGAAATAGTCTGCACTTTTTTTTTGGATTTTCCAAAAATAAAGTGCAGACTATTTCAAAAAAAAGTGCAGATTTTTTTTGGATTTTCTGCTCAACTTTTGTTATTGCGCTCCAAAAGCTTGTGGGCTAGTGCATTGTTAATTTACTTAACTTTTTAATCAAAATTTTTAGAAGTCTATTTAAAACACTTTTTTAAGTTTTTAAATAAATTTTTTCAAACAGAGCAATCATGTTCATTATCTCTAGTATTTTGTCTTCATGTTAATAATTGGGCAATATAAAGGAAACAATTCCAGAAAAAACAAATTTTTTTTTAACATCATTGCTTCCAACAAGACTGCAAGCAACCACTATTAGAGTTAAAAGTTACTGGAAGAGAAAAGAAAAAGTTTATAGAGCAAGATAATGATTGACAGACGACTTAAAAGATTGCAAATTAAATGAATCAGGAAAGCAAGAAGGAAGCAAATTCCAAAGAACTGATGTTCAAGGAAAAAAACTAAATAAATACGAGTTTTTGGAGCACTTAGGAATTGTCACTGCGAGGCTT